GAATAAATTAGATCATAAGAGGTTGCAAGATCTTTATTGCAAGTACAACCAAGCATTGAAGGAGAGATTTGACTGTAGAGATTATATTGACCCGATTAAGTTGGCTGATAGAGATGAAAGCAATGAGTAGTTGTTAGGGTAGTTCGGTGTAGGTGAAAATGCAGAGAATGACTTGGTGAAGGGCTACTACAACCTTACATATGGTGCCGTAGGAGATGCGATGAGAGATGAAGAAGATGATGTTATATATCTAAGATCGACTAGTAGGTTTCGAGGATCTTCGAGTGGTATTGGTTCATCATTGAGGAGGAGGGAGCCAGTTTCTAAGTCGGAAGATAAAGAGGAGTTTAATGATGAGGAGGAGGAGACTAAAGAGGAGGATATTCCCTTTGAAGGGGATGATGATGATGTTAATGAGGATTATTAGAGTCATTAGGCTATTATTTTGCTACTTATTTGCGTTTTTTGTTAGATTGCTTGCTTAGCTTTGATGTTAGTGAACTCCTTAAGTGTTGCTGCTTAGTTGATTTGTTTTGATGGACAACTTGATTTGCTTCAATGATTAAAACATTATCTTGTGATTTGGTAGTATATACTTTATTTATATTGAGTTCTTGACATTTTCAATGTGAAATTTCACAAATATATATTTTTTTCATGCATATTGTATATCTTCAAAATTTTTGTGGTCTGGAGTGCGCCTCGCTTCGCTCGGGTACGCGCAACGCATTGCGCCTTGCGCATGTTCGTGTAAACTAACTTTACGTCATGCATTGCACCTCGTGCATTAAAAACACTACTGCTCAACAATGCCTCATCATCTGAAAGAATGATTTGCTTCATAGCTTTTGCTTGATCAGCTCTAAACTCCAATACTGACCCCCTACGATCCATGCGGTGCTTAGAAATAATGAGATGCTCCACCAACGGCTCTCTCTCATAGCGAGGAGGGGATTTAACAGGCCCCATCAACAACGCTTGGATCGCCTTCTAAGTGTGAGGGGAAAGCTTGTCGATGCAATGGGGGAAGGACCTCTCATATTGATCCTCCAGTGCAATAGTTGGAAGACCCAAAGCAACCGGTATGTGGGCTTCTTGTCGACCACTAGAACCATAGTTCACGCTTGATCTGCCTCAGTGGGGAGGATAGGGGATATGCCGATAGCTGGAAGGATAGCATTGTCGAACAGGTTCTCCCAGGAACGAGATCCTTTGTAGACACGGATCCTCTACCAAACCTCGCGCCTCAACTGCCGAGAGCTTCCCCACTCTTAGACTCTCCCTTTTAATTTCTTGCCACATGAGGCAAGCCAAAATCGGATCGGCGAGAAGGATAAAGAAAAACTTTTCCCTCCGCTTCTTGTTTGTCTTGGGAATGAAAAACTTTTCCCTCCGCTTCTTGTTTGTCTTGGGAATGTTGGACACCAGTCGGTAACCACCGATTATCTGCATGTAGAAATGGCTCTCTTTCTTGCTAGTCTTAACGCTAGCAAGATGACCCAAAATGCCCAGCGTGGGCTCAACATTCACATGGTGGCAGATAACTAGGAAGGCCACCAGATGAGAAATGGAGTTCAGCTTTAGTTGCGCTGGTGAAACCCCTAAAACATTAAAAACCTACTAAAGAAATAGGTGCAACGACAAATAAATGCCATAGTCGAGGTGGTGCCAGTATATCGGTCCTAAATTGCTGCTTTGATGATATATATATTGCTCCCTTGATGAAGCTGATAGTACATCCATAGTGTTGGGCATACTTCTCCAAGTAGCATGTGAGCACTTTTAATCTATACTTCTGCAACATATCAATTTTAACCTCGTTGCAAGCAATGATGAGCTGGGCGCAGGGAGCCATCAGAATAGTCGAGAAGAATGATCAGAGGACAACAAATGCTTTTTGGGGGGAGAAGAAGATGGACTTGTATCGATGAAAATGGAAGGCTTGCTAGGTTTTACAAAGTAGGATGAAAAGGGGAGGAGCATGTGTGTGTGTGTGTGGGGGGGGGGGGGGGGTAGGGGTAATATGTACCTAAGGAGGCTCCTTAGGGAGGTTATTCATTGGTGTAAATTTGGGGATAATGGGATAGTTTTTGGAACAATACTTTTTGGTGTTATTCATTAGGGTAATTGATGTTGGATTTAACTTCATGGTGTTATTGGTTTGTTGGGATAATTGTGGGACACATACCCTACTTCCCCTAAAATTACACCAACTATATAAAGACTGCTCAACCCCCACCCTCAAAATTACCCCATATCGCTTCCTGGAACAAGAGGGGAATAAAATTACCCACTTCCAATCGCCTGCTCCTCCGTCGCCGTTCTCGAGCTCGATCGCCCGCTCCTCCGTTGCCCCCTCGAATAGATCCGACGCCAACATCGTCACCCTCAACATCGCCGTTCTCGAGCTCGATAGCCCTAGCTAGGCCCACCTCCGTCGTCGTTCTCGAGCTCGATAGCCCTAGCTGGGCCCACCTCTGTCGCCGTTCTCGAGCTCGATAGCCCTAGCCGGGATTTCCCCACCGCCATCTCCTCCGTCTCCTCCTCCGCCGCCTCCTCCGCCGTCTCAACCGTCTCTCGAACCCAGGTACGTGCCCTTTTCCCCCCAACAGTCGGCATAAATGAAGTAAAGCGTGACAAAAAGATGAGGACGTGCATCTAAATTTGTATATTGGGTTTATAATTGGCCTTGTTTAAGTTAATAATAGGGAGTTGATTTACTTTGTCCCTTCCATTTACTTACAAATTGAGAAAAATATTAAGTTTATGGACGTGAAATGTGAATTCTTGGTCTATCTAATTATATAGAAAATATGTGCATCCAAAATAAGTATTTCAGCGATTTTTGTGACCATCATGGTATTACTCATACGATTTTCTTTAAATTTGGACGAATTTAAGGTAAAAGGGTTTTTGAGTGAAAGTGGAAATTATAAGTGCCTAAAGTTATTTGTTATAAGTGATCCCTCTGTGAATTCTTGTTATAAGTGATCCCTCTGTTATATGCTAAAGTTGTTTGTTATCATTGAACATAAATTATAAGTGCTGACATAGTAGACTTGAGCATTCAAACACCAATGTTTTTGCTATATTTGAACTCTTACATGTACATACTACATAAAGCTATAGTCTTTGAGCAAATGAATTTTGGTCATTATTGATATTTCCCAAGACATGAAGGATATGTTTGTGAAAATGAATGATGATCAAAGGAGAAAGTTTATGATTTGGCGACTGACTGGAGTATTTCCAAATGACGACAATCACTATGCTTTTTAATGACTATTTAATGACTACGCTTGTGGACCGTAGTTTGATGACTACTCTTTTGGAGTTGTATTTTTGGGAACATAGATGTTGTTAGTTATATGCTTTTGGACTTTTATGTTAAACACATGAATGCTTTGATGACTACATGGTTTTAAATATCATTTTTGTACATATATATGTATGTTAAGCACACGCAATGTTGCTCCGGTTGATGGTGATTCTCATTCAATCATGGTTTGTTGCTCAGTTATCATGTTTCATATACCAACACCTGTCGTGTTGCAAGTAGAGTTCTATATGGTGAGAATGCCTATCGCAGAAGAGATCAAATCCGTTGTGGTTAGTTATTCACCATTCGTTTTTGAGAGGAGGTGTAAAAGTACTGAATTGCTACAGAATTGTTACATTTCACTATAGTTGTTGATCTAGCATAATAGTTAAAATAAACATCAAAATATTTAAAGATTGATTAATATTAATATTATTAATATTATTATATTGTTTTTAATATTTTATATTAAAATAATCTTAAAAATAATATTATTATATATTATAACTATTATTTATTTAATCATTTGATGTTATATCAAGTTAAACTTGAACTTAATTGATCAGTAGTATCATATTATAAAAAGATGTCGTACTAATTGTCCCACTCAAATTGTCTCATTATCCCATTTTACCCCCACTTTATCCAACTCAAATCGCCATTGGGTAAAATTATCCCCTTGGAACCATTTAACCCAAATCACCCCCATTTACATCGATGAGTAAGGATGCAAAATCTCTGCCCTTGGTTACTTTCATATTAAAATAACCCAACACCTAAATCCTCCACCCCCTTCTCCTTTCTGCTTCCGTTCTTTGCTCCTCAAAAAATCAGCCCTCCCACCGTTCTCCCCGCCCGCTTGCCCTCTCTTCCCTCCCATCCGCCCGTAGCTCTCCTCCGCCCGCCCGCCCACCGTCTCCACCAGCTGACTCCTCACCACCCCTCGGACGCACTCTCCTCTCCGCCGGCCTCCCGCATGCCTTGGCCAGCCGCCCGCCCACCCTCGACTAGCTCAGATCTCCTACTCGACACCGCTCGATTGAGCTCAATCGCCGCTCGATGCCTCATCTCACTCAGATCGCCTCCTTGACGCTGCGTTGCCAGACGCCACTCGGATCCCCTCTACATCTCATATCCCCTACGATGAAATAGATTTGTCGAGGGAATGCAGTGCGGGTTTGAGGTCGAGACGAAGAAAATGTGATCGCCATTTAGATCCGGTTGTTTGATTGTGGAGATTATGACAGCAATAGGACCAACTACTACTATAGAGGTCAAAGACGGAGTGCTGTTCCCATAGCCTAATGACTTATTTGGAGGAGACCCGAATGATATTAGGTTTTGGTGTTGAGGAATATGATTAGAGACGAAGAACTAATTAAAATCACCAATGATGTTAAGTCCCTCTCGGCGGCGCGCCGGCCCCTATTAAGAAATGATATAGAGGTCAATGATGTTAAGTCCCTCTCGGCGGCCCCTGTTTAACTAAAATCACCAATGATTAAAATATATGAAAGTGAAACAGGTTTGTTAAATATACCAATTCCATGAACGGAAGCAACTTCCACATGCAGGTTTATTAAATATATCAATTCCATGAACGGAAGCGCAACTTCCACGACCTTTCTTTTTTTTTTCCTACTATTTTGACCCACATCTCTATATATACCCATCTCTTAAGCTTCTACGATATACCAAGAATCTCATTAGCCTTCCTCCAATCCGCTAAAACAAATCTTTCAATAGTCTGCCAAAAACCTAGCTTATCAACACACAGCAAAGCAAAAGGCATGGAAGGCACAGTTCGTTGCTCTGCAAACTATGTCCCTCTCTCTCCACTGAGCTTCATCGAGCGGTCTGCGGAGGTTTACTCTGATCGGACCTCTGTTGTTTATGAATCCATCGAGTTTACTTGGACCTCTGTTGTTTATGAATCCATCAAGTTTACTTGGAGACAGACCCGAGACCGCTGCCTCAGGCTCGCTTCCGCTCTCTCACACCTTGGCGTTTCCCGCGGCGACGTGGTAACTATAATCTCTATCTCTCATCTGCTCCATGAATATATGCGTTCTATTTTTGGAGTTTTTCTAGCACGCATCACCCTCCTCGTAGTGTTAGAATATCGCAAAATATTTCCTTTTAGTTATTTTGAAGTAGAGAGTCTGTACACTGAATCTTCTTCTATTGCCGAACCAGGTTGCCGTCCTCGCTCCAAACGTCCCAGCCATGTACGAGCTCAACTTCGGCGTCCCAATGGCCGGGGCAGTCATCTGCACCCTCAACGCTCACCACGACGCAGCCATGGTCTCCGTCCTCCTCAAACATTCTGAAGCCAAGCTCATTTTCGTCGACCACCAGTTCCTCACAATCGCTGAAGACGCCATCAACCTCCTTTCACAATCCAACTCCAAATCCCCTCTCCTCATCCCAATCCCGGAACCCTCTGAAGACTACTCTCATTCACCTGGTTTAAACTACGAAAGCCTCATAAAAAACGGAGACCCCTGCTTCGACATCAAGTGGCCGATCGACGAGTGCGATCCTATCGCCCTAAACTACACATCCGGCACCACATCCAGGCCGAAAGGCGTGGTCTACACACACCGCGGCGCCTACCTCAACTGCATCAGTTCCATTCTCTTTAGTGAAATAAGGACTTTGCCGGTCTACTTATGGACGGTGCCCATTTTCCATAGCAATGGTTGGTGCCTGACCTGGGGCATAGCGGCACAGGGCGGGCTCAACGTCTGCCTCCGCGATTTCACCGCAAAGACCATCTTCGAGAAAATCACCAGGTACGGAGTTACGCACATGACCGGTGCCCCTACCATCCTCAACATGATGGCAAACTGTCCGCCTGCTGACCGACAGCCGCTCGCAGCTGAGGGAATTCGACATATCGGAACGGAGGCGGTCGACGTCAAAGATCCGGAGACAATGAAAAGCGTCCCGGCCGATGGGAAAACAATGGGGGAGGTTATGTTTCGAGGCAACACGGTGATGAACGGATACTTCAAGGACTTAAAGGCTACGGAGGAGGTTTTTGCAGGGGGATTCGACATATCGGAACGGAGGCGGTCGACGTCAAAGATCCGGAGACAATGAAAAGCGTCCCGGCCGATGGCAAAACAATGGGGGAGGTTATGTTTCGAGGCAACACGGTGATGAACGGATACTTCAAGGACTTAAAAGCCACGGAGGAGGTTTTTGCAGGGGGATGGATGAGGACAGGGGATCTCGGGGTGAGGCATGCTGATGGGTATATTCAGGTGAAGGATAGGCTGAAGGACATCATAATCTCCGGCCTGGAGAATATAAGCACGATCGAGGTCGAGTCGGTAGTTTACAGTCACGAATCTGCGGTGGTTGGACGACCGGATGAGTACTGGGGGGAGACGCCGTGTGCGTTTGTGAAGCTCAAGGATGGAGCTTCTGCTGATGCTGAGGAGATTATAGGGTTCTGTCGGGCTCGGCTGCCGGATTTTATGGTGCCCAAGAGCGTGGTTTTCGGGGAGCTGCCGAAGACTTCGACGGGGAAGATGCAGAAGTTTGTTCTCAGGGAGAGGGCCAAGGCTATGGGAAGCCTATTCATGAATGGCGGCGGGAAAATGCTTGAAATATAGTATTCTAAAAGTAATTGTGGATACTGTACAAATGAAGAATTTCATTTGTAATTTGATTTGTTGAACCAAAAAATAAATGGAAGTCTCAGCAATGATATGGGGTTGAGATATGATCAATGTATTATGTTTGTTATATATGAACTTATATTTATTCATTTTAAACGTGTTCCTAATTAATTCTTCTCAATCTTCTAAGAATATTACTAATCATTTCTTTTTGAAAAATCTTGTAAAATTCGTATTCTGTGGTTATTTCAAACTTATGAACTCACATTTGAATTGGAAGTTTTATATTGCCGGGTACTAGTGATCTCGTTTTCCGGATTCACAAGAATATGTTGAAGTTAGAAAGTCTCCAACCACTTTCACAAGTCATGGCTAATCTCTCCTTTATATAGAAAGAGAAAAAGATGCTTTGTGTTTAAAGCCGAAAATGATGTGCGGACGAATAACTAATTCTATCCAAAATCGTGTTATTTTAAAAATAAAAAAATCGGGTAAACCGTTTAGTTTATAAGAAAAAAACTCACTATCATTTGCGTAGTGCAAACAAGTAAAAAAACTAATATTTTAACCATTTCATTCAAAAAATAAAATGGATGACCATTTAGAACAGAAAAATAGAAAGTTCCAATAAAAATATTACAAATTACCTACATGATTGTTTTAATACAAAGTATGTTTATAATTAATCTAATGGAGGTTTTTCTATTATGTCTAAGACTGATTTTAGAAGTGTGTGGTTTTAAAATAAAAGGGGGTAAAACTTTGGGTTTATAGGTAATAAACCTTTTAGAAAGTGGATGACTTTAACAATGGAAGTTGAACTTTAGGCGAAATATTTACCGTTGAAGAGTGATTGATGAGTGTAAAAATTATTGGGTTTAAAAATTATAGGTAAAAATCTTTTCTGGAAGTGGATGGGTTTTAAAACAAGTGTGGGTAAAAGCTTTGGGCTCATAGGTAAAAGCACTTTTTGGAATAGGGTGGGTTAAAAAATTGCTTATATGTTTATTTGCAGATATACCCCTTACATCATGAATATTTACAAAACTACCCCTCAAATCATCAATTTCGGAAAAAAATATTCCCAAATTAATCAATCGTTAACTTTAATGGGATGATTTGTAACTGAATGTAAAATTCATTAACGAATAATCTAATTTTCACTCACAAAGTTGATAATTTACTGATTTTAGGGCAATTTCCCCCCCAAAGTTGATGGTTTGGAGGGTATTTTTATAAATACTAAAGTTTAATCGGTATTTTTGTAAATACCCATGATTCAAGGGTATATATACAAGTAACAAAAAAAATTTAAATACTAAGGTAGAGGGCTGCACGGTAGTGTGTACAATATCTAGCTACAGTGCAAGCTTATTCATTAATGACGGCTAGAAAATGCTTGAAATATAAGTTTGCGAAATATTGATGGGTACTCTAATTGAATAATTTCCTAAGTAATTTGACTAGTCAAGGAAAAAACTAAATGCAATTCTCAGCAATGATATGAGACTGAGATCGAATAAGCAGCTGATCGATGTATAATGTTTGTTACGATAAAAAAAAGTATGATGTTTGTTATATATGAACTTATATCTATTCACTTTAAACGTGTTCCTAATTAATTCTTCTCAATCTTCTAAGAATGTTACCGATTACTTCTCTCTGAAAAGATCCTATAAAATTCATATTTAGTGGTTATTTCAAATTTATGAACTCACATTTTTATATTGCTGGGTATTAGTGATCTCGTCCTCCGGATTCGCAAGAATATGTTAAAAAATGGAAAGCCTTTGATCACTTTTGAAGATCATGCCTAATCTCTTCTTGATATGTGTAAAACCCCGTAAAATTTGAATGTGTTGTGATAAATAGTAATAAAAATGTTATATGATAATAAATAACATATTTTGATGTTTGAGTATGCTAGGAATTGATTTGAGATCAATTCAATGTATATATGTGTATATACAAGTGCAAATGCAAATCTGGTGAAAGGACCATTTAAGAGTTTATGTGTTTTACACATTGATGTAGTAAGAATCTGGAAAACCTCAAAAGACCAAAGTTGTAGGTCTTTTCGATAGCTTTCCAATAAATTTTAAATTACCTTATTCAGAGGTCGTATGACAAAGTTACAGTCAAAACACACAGTGCATGTTGATATTTTCGGAAAAAAAGGAAATAATTTTCAAAAAAAGGAAAATTTACTGTAGCAACCACGAAGATTCTTCGTGGACAACAGACTCCGTGTTTTCAGGGCGTGAGTGGCGTTGCGCAGCGGTGTGGGATGACGAGCTTCTCTTTAGCGTAATTTAGGGGATTGATTTGTAGTGTAAAAATAAAAACAAATGCATTTTATCCTCTTCATGTTTCACCTCTAAAAAAAAAGATCAAAAGAAAAGAAACTGAGAACTCTGAGCTCTCTCAGTTACGAACAGTAACTCCTCATCTTCTCCAAGTGATCTCTGACCAAGCTCAACACCCCAAACCCTACATCAATTTCCAAACACCCTACAAGCCTCTCTTCCTCCTCTCAAAGATCCTATGGTGAGTTCGGAAAGCTCCTAAGAAGTCCCTGTGAAGTGTTGAAGAAGAGAAAAAAATTGTTTCATGTGCCATTGGTGAAGAAGGAAGCAAGGGGCGAGCGCGTTCAAGAGGATCTCGTACAAGCGCTTTTCATCACAGCGTTTAGGCAAGATTATCTCCTATCCAAACCTTCCCTATAAATTAGTTCAAGATTTAAAAAGGTTAAAAATGATGTTCTTTATGCTTGAGTTTTTTTTTGGTCAACGAAAATTTCATTCATCTTCCAATATGAAAATTTCAGTACATCACTGCTCAGTTAGAAAACTGAGAATACACTAATAGCTAACAGCTTACAACCTCAAATAGTTACAAAGTACAGATCCATTCCTTATCATCTGTCGAGAAAGATCCATTGAGTATAGTAGTTAGAATGATGAGCTTGATCTCCTTGAACAATTTGTCAGCAGACTTCTGTTAGACCCTAGAGGGGGGGTGATTAGGGTCTTATGCTAATCTAATCCGATTTAAATGCCAATTAAAATATATTAACAAGTTATCCTAGAAAGTATGAAATACAACTATGTATATGAGCTAGGATAAGCAATATGAACAACAATATATATCCTAATAATGAAATATAGGCAATGTATGTGTAAGGATATATAAACAACACAAGGGTAGATAATCTAAACAAGATAGTGGATGATATAGTAATGAGCAATGCACAATGGCGATATAAGATATGAACATAAATATAAATGAACGCCAAAGCACACTCAAACACAATCAAGTGATCACGGAGTTCGGACCTTCCATCCTACGTCTCCGCTCCCCACTCCCGGGGAGAAATCCACTATCAACCGGGTTTTCTACGTTCACCCGAATAACGTTTACACCTCACACTCGGTTTTCTAGCTAACCGAAAACTTTACAATCAACACACTATTGTAATCCCACTCTACACCCACTAAGTGTTGGACCTAGCCGTGTCTCCCTCAAGTGCTCGGTTACTACCTCTCCTTAGGCTTGTCAACCGACGCCACTCCTCTTGGGACGATCCCCGACTCTCACCACACACTCCTCACTCGGTGTACAAGTGTATTACAAAGTGAATCTCGCAATAAGGCTCAATACAATAATTGATTATTCTCAACTATGGATGAGAACACAATGAAAGCACAACTCAAAGTTACAATCTCTCACCACCTAACTATATTATGTATGTAAATACTAAAAGCTCAATGTGGGTGTGTGTAACAATGAGTAAAATAAAATCTAACTCAAATAGCAAACTAACAATAATAAGAATATGAAAATCAATAATGAAATTGCTAGAAAAAAGAGTTAGAAAACTTCTTTATGAACACAAAGAAGAGGATGAAGGGGATTGAGAATGAATCCCTTAATCTGTAGTGAAAACTTCCTCCTTTGTAAACAGAAACTCAAACTCAAACAAACAGTAAAACCCTAAACCCTTGTTTAAACACTTTGTTTAAAAACTTCTTGGATTGGTTGAAAAAGAACAGCAATAGGGTATTTATACCCACACAAAAACTCAGCCAAAACCCTAAGCAAAAGACAGAAATAGCCCCAGCAAATCGGCTCAGGAAATAGCCGTTGAGAAAGCAACGGTCATATAGGCGGTCGACCGACGGAAATTTCGGTCGACCGCTATCCAGGACTGAAACAGAGAATGCACTCAGAACTTCGTCGGTCGACCGGTGCGGTCGACCGATGGAGCTCTCGGTCCACCGACAGACTCTCTGTCGCCCAGTAACAAAAAAGAACTTGAGCGGTCGACTGGATCGGTCGACCGAAAACTGATATGCAGAAAATTGATTTGCTGATTTTAAAACGCTGTTTAAAAATATCAAATAAATTCCAAAAAATATAAAACTTTGGGGAATGATCGTAGACATGATAATAAACATGCTACAGCGACTGGTTTTTAGAAAGGACCTCCCAAATGAAAAATATCATCATTTTACAAAATAGTCCAAAACATGAAAATATGAGATACTTGAATTTTGATGTTTTGACATAAACCAACTTTTAAAACTTTGTGAAATGTTTTTATAGACTTAGTAAAATATGTATAAACTGATATTGAAGTCTACAAACTAGGAATTTAATATTTTCACAAAATTGCATATTCTATGCAATGTTTTCAAAAACACAATAGTAAATATGAAATATGTAATTTCATATATATAATCATAAAAACTCAAAACATCTTGATCTTCATTGTAGCTCAACTTGGTACACGTTGCGGATGAAGCTTGAACTATCTTTAACTTGAATTGTATAGGCTTCAACCCGACATTCCGCCAACCTCCTTTGGATATGATCGTTGAAACTCTATTCCATTCATCCTCCAACTACATTGTTTGTCTATAATACATAGGAATACACAAACACTAGACAAACAATATTAGTAGTAAATTGTTTGTAAATCATCATCAAAACAAGAAGGCCAACAACTTCACTTCTTGCTTGAAGATTCTAGTGTTCCTTTCACACCAGATGCTATAGACTGTTGCAGTGAGAGCTATTTTTTTAACTTTTTGTCTAAAACCATTTCCCCTCAATCTTAAACAGAACCAGTTCATAATCAGATCCCAATTACAGGACCTCCACCTGAATTGTAACCAGTCCATGATCAGAATCCAAACTTCCCTTGAAAATTAACATTCGAAGAAGAGATGATTCCTGCACTAATTGCCAGTGCACCAACAACAGTTGTTTTCATTCATAATACTCCTTTTGATCAGTCTGTCTTGTGTGAGCAAGCGATCATAAGCTGCTAGCCAACTGACGAAAGAATGTCTAGACAAGCATGATGTCTCCCACACAGATTTATACCATGACACTTCAGGGGTAGCAGGGGATAGGGCAGAGTATAGAATAGAAAATTTGATTTTAGAATCTCTGGTACATCTTTGAATTATTTGTATCAAGTTGTCAACACCTCCATAGAATCTCAGAGCTTTGTCTCTGACTTTCAGTATATTTTTCCACATCCACGAATCCCTGTTCCTAGTTTGAACATTCCAAATGTCATTGTGCTTTAGATATGTGCCATGAATCCACTTGATCCAAAGATTTTCTTTGTTTGTATGAATGAGCCACAGAATTCTAAGAATAGAAGCCATATTCCATATAGGAGCAGAATATTCTTTGTTTGTATGAATGAGCCACAGAATTCTAAGAATAGAAGCCATATTCCATATAGGAGCAGAATAAATGCCAAGACCTCCTTGTTTCTTGCTTAAACAGACTTTGTCCCATGAAATAGGATACATTTTTTGAACCTGGTCTGTTTTCCCCCCACAGGAAAGATCTACACATTCCATCGATTTCCTGCAAGACCTTGATAGGCAGAACATAGTTTGATGCCTAATAAATTTGAATGCCTAGAATAATGCTTTTGATTATCCGTAATCTGCCTGCATAGGATAGCATTCTATTTTTCCAACAAGCTTGGAATTGATTTGATATTCTATTTAACAGAGGAGAACAGTCACGATATGATAGCCTTTTGCATATCAAAGGAACTCCTAAATTCAAGATCCTGCCAATATATCCTTTAGTGATTTCATCAACACCCCCATAGAAAATAATGAGGATCACCCTTAGAGAAAAGTAAGAGATCATCTGCAAATATTAAATGTGTGATCTTAAGCACACCACAACCATGATGAAATTTAAACTCCCTGTTCTCCTTAAGCTTCGACAATTTCCTAGAGAGGTACTCCATGCCCAAATTAAACAAGTAAGGTGATAGTGGATCACCTTGTCTTAGACCCCTCTCTCATTTGAAATAACCATGAAGGGTTCCATTCAATGATATGGAGTATTTTGTTGAAGAGATACACACCATAATCCAATTTATGAATTTTACAGGAAAACCAAGGCCTAAAAGCATCTCATTTAGGAAGTTCCAGCTTATGGTATCAAAGGCCTTTTTAATGTCTATACTCAGCATAGTTCTTGGAGAAATGTGCTTCCTATTGTAACTCTTCACAATCTCATTTGCAAGCAGGATGTTACTTGAGATATGTTTACCTTTTACAAATGCAGATTGAGCTTCATTAATTAGATAACCCATTACTGATTTTATCCTGTTAGTAAGGATACAACAAGCAATAGGCCTAAAATCAGATGGGGTCTTAGGGCATTTCACTTTTGGAACCAAAGTGATGGAAGTAGAGTTAATCATTCCCAGGATTTTACCAGATTGAAAGAAGTCAGAAATGGCCTTAGTTACCTCATCACCAATAACACTCCAAGATGACTTGTAGAAGGACATACCAAAACCTTCAGGGCCCGGAGCTTTGTTATCATCCATAGAGAAGACTGCATTTTTTATTTCATCTCTGGTTATAACAAAGGATAAAGAATTTGCTTGAGCTTCACTTAAATAGGGACTTCATGCTTGAGTTTAATTTGTCATGTTAAAACAAAATAAGATTTTGACGATAAATTTTAATCAAATGCTAGAACTAAAAATATTATTTTCCTTAATATTGCTAATAGATTTACGATCGTGATCATTAGGACATTTAGAATTTATTTCGTTTATTAATCATGTTAAAATCGTGTAAAATTCAAGAAAAATACTAATTTTGTCGTTATTTACTCTTTTGTTAGATCTTGAGGTTCTTTATAGCTAAAGATTATTATTATCTATATTATATTATTAATATATATACTATAATTATATATTTTTAATAATATCTTATATGATATATATTACATTACTGTTTTATATTATCAAGTTGATGATTGAATGTGTTAGTATGTGTTTAAGATCAATCGATGTGTGTTATATAGTATATTAATATATATTTTATATATATATTAATGATTATCTCTGTTATTATAATATAGATATAAGTGCTTGTGTTCGAGCTTTCAGGTACGATTCAGTGCGTACGCCATTTCAGCTTCAAACCAACAGTCAGGCGCTTCCCCGTGAGAAGGCTCTTTGCAAATCCACGCTTTTGTTAAGAAGCTCTCTCGTGACCTGGCTCCTCCCAAAAGATCCCACTATACATCTTCTCTTAATTGTCGCATGCTCTTCCCTCATTCCCACTTTGCCCGCCGCCGCCTGTGCCGCCCAAGCCAATCGCCTCGCGCCGCCTTCTCCCCGTGACGCGCCACCGCCGTCGTCACGCTCGCGTGCGAGTCCAGCTCGCGCTCGTCAGCCTCACGCCCACGCCGACGCCTGCCGCCTCGTCCCGCGGCCGCTCCTTCGTCGCCAGCCCGCGCTCTCTTCTTACGCCCACGCGCCCCGCCGCCTCGTCACCCGCCCCGCCGCGCTCTCGTCTACGCCATGCCGCGCCGCCGGCGCCTCGTCCCGCGCCCCCCCGCGCCCGTCGCTCAATGTCGGCGAGGCTGCTACAGAGGGTTCTGGCGAGGCTGGGCTGGGGAGGGCCTGAGCCTGGAGAGGATGATCTATGCCGTTAACGGTTGATTATGAACTCGGTGAGGAGTATTGAAGGGTTTTCAAGTGGGGAAGATGTATTTTCACCGAGTGATCCTCGATGGTGTCTTGATTTGTGGATTTTTCTGAATTGGTTAATGAAGTCTCTATTTGCAACTATAAAGTTGGTTTTTACTTATTAAACTAATCATTGATGATGTTGCTTGTTTTTGTTCTGTAATGAGGTTGTCATTTTGCCAATCGAAAGTTTACATATGTGCTTTTGCTATACTTATTTTTCATGCAATGACTGTTTGGTGAATGCCGCGATGTATCCCCATGTGTAATTTATGAGCTCTTGGGTAATTAGGCCATAAAACCATTTGTTACGGTTTCAATCACGACGATGTGTTAATTTTTTTAGTGTACTATTTGTGCTTTAGTGGAAGGAATCAATCGGCTTGAAGGCGGCAAAACTTCAACTTCCTCTTGAATTTCATTAACATTCTTGTGAAGTTCGGGCCATTTGCAGAAGGAAGAAGGAATTTGAAAGCCTATCTGGGTTATTCCTTAATTATCATTATGATTAGATGATAGAAGACGTCTCTGTACTCATATTGGAGTGACTGTGTTGGAAATCTATTGGGTCTTTGTTATCTGATGCATTGCGAGTTGATACGAACATTAGGCGTGTGTTTGCAGAGCTGTAAATGAAGCCTGATTAGCCATCTTATTGCAATTCTCACTTTTTACACCTTTTTTGTATTCCCATCCTCGTGGGTATCGGCACAAGCATGATTTTATGCTCACGGTGTGCATGAATATCAGATGCAAGTTCGAGTGTTAGGTATTGGATGCCTGTATTGACATATGGTTCTTTAGTTGACACTTTCTAATGGTATGAGCAGGCAAATTTTTTGACAACTTTCAGAGGTGTGGCGTTGGTTGGAAAGGCGGCGAGAGTGTGGGTGCCGTAATTTGACAAGCTTGAGCTGATTTCTTGGATTTCTTTATTTTCAGCAATCAAGCAACTCTTGCTGCAACCGTCGCTAAATAGGTAATAAAATAGTACACATATCTTCTCCATACCTAATTTACTCAACAATCTACACAATTAAAAAATTAGAAAGATGGAACATAGAGAGCATTAGGGAATCAGTTCTAGTTCGCTAACGCACAAGAGCATGTTTCTTTTTTTGCCCTATTTACAAAACCACGGAATCCAAATTATGTACTTATCTACTCCACATTTCAGCGTTCATAAAATCACATAATTACTCTCAAATTCAGGTCTCACATACACATATAAATGTCTAGAATTATTAATAAATGCAAATAGGGACGTTTGCTGCACGTCCATTTGTTCCTCTCTATGTGCCGATGCAATTGGCCTCTTCTATGGGACCCGCGGAGCTCTAGGGACCTTTGCGTTTTGTTGCATCATCCAAATTCATCTTGCACCAATTAATCAAGAAGTGGACAATAGAAAAAGTGAGCTAGACTAATGTGGTTCTTAAAGAACTCAGATAAATTCTTGCACTTGCGATTTCTGTATTATTATTATAAATGTATGTTAGTTTTGAAATTCTTTAAAAATGAGACAATGAGACGCTAATTTACTTATTATCAGTTTGCCATGTAGATGTTGCATATAAGTTTATCGATACTTACTTGTGGTTAAAAATCTGAATTGTTCAGTATTAGTTTGATTAATCAGGTGAGGGAACTGATATTCACGAACTGACAGCTGTTATTGATATTAGTGCCCAATTCCTTTCTTCGTATATTCGCGAGATAACAAACGTTACTACTGCAAGAATAATTGGTTAACGTACCTGGATTCAGAGAGAAGTTCCACAGTTGGCTGAGTCTTCCTCTTTCTATTTCTTTGCATTATATAGCTATCCTCTGTTTAATCTTGCCTGGGAATGCTTTTCGTTGAACGCATCAAAAACAGCCTCCAATTTTTTCAATATATTTTCTGTATATTGGATAAA